GTAAAACAATAATATTTTGAAATATTACAATTTAAAATGATAGTTTTCTACTATAATATATAATATAATATATCTAATTTATTTCTGTTAAGGATCAGGGTCACATGATCCTCCAAAAATCATTCTGATATGCTGATTATCAGTGTTATTAACAGTTGAGCTGCTTAACATTTTTGTGAAAACTGACATTTTTTCTGGATTCTTTGATGAATAGAGACTTCAAAAGAACTGCATTTATTTGAAACAGAATTTTATTGTAACAATATAAAAGTCTTTACTATTAATTTTTATCAATTTAATGCATTCTTACTTAATAAAAGTATTAATAGAACCAATGTAATAAAGTAGATGGGGACCATGGGATGTCAAAAAAATATCATGAAATCACTATAAAAGTAGTCTATGCAACTTGTGTGTTATATTCTAAGTGCTTTTAAGGCATATGATGTGAGGCACAGACTGAAATTAACGTCATTATTCACTGAAAGTTTTGCCTTGAAAATCTTTCACCATTCGTGGTCATAATTCACTTTCAATGCATGGAAAAGAGCAGCATGGACATCTTGCTATAATTATCTTTTTCGTGTTCCACAGTAGAAAAAAAGTCATACAGGTCACGAGGGTGAGTAAATGATGACAGAACTTTGAATTTTGGGTCAACCATCACTTTAAATTTTATTCTCTAAACTGTTTGGGATTCTTTTAGCTCTTTAAAGCACAAGCATGCCATTATTATCCCGAATGTGTTCCCTGAGACCGGACCAGAGAGCAATAAAAGTCCTCTGCTGAATATTATCCCGATATATCAAGGCATCCATAAAGATTGATCTAGCTAAGCTTTGTTGTTTTATTTTGGTTAAATACAACTAAACACTGTAATTACGCTTCCGACCTGATTGGTGTTTAGAAGAAGCTGAATTCATTATCATTTTGATTGATGAGCCTAAATAATCAGCCCATAAATAATGCATACCATATTCATTATGCATGTGTATGCATGCCTGAGCACCTCATCAACCTGATGCCAGCCCCTAAACAATAGACTTCCTTTATTAGTGGCAAACCGGAGTTTACGCTTGTTAATCTGCGACTTGTATTATTTTATCAAACATTCATTTAGTTTGTATGTGCTTATATCGGCCAGCTCCTGCCTGCCTGTCTTAATGGCTCCGGCTTTGGCCATCATTTAGGCCCAGAATATTGCAAACACAATTAAAACCCTGCAGGAAAAGCTTTTTATTGTTGTTTGAGGATAGTGTGTCTGACAGCTGAAGACAGAGTTCCACAGAAGAGAATTACTCATGCCTCACACACTGTGCAAGGGCTTTACCCTCCGTTTCATATCTGTCACTGAGAATATGCCTCATGCCCGCTACGAGTCCTGCGAGTCCTGCCACTCTTAACTAATCCGCTTCTGTGGTGTTCTTTTAGACACATCTTTTATCTGCTGTGTCTGCGAGCGTCGTTGGGTTTTAGAGGAAACCTTTCTTGTTTTCTGCAGCGGTATAACCTAATAACGCAGGACTCGGTCTCCCCAGTGCCCTTTATGGACTATGAGACTAATGCCTGTTTCTCCGTGGGGGCTTTTGTAACCCTTCTATTTGTTTCTAGCATGGCTGTTATTGCTGTCCCCGAGAGGTAAATTTATCATTTAGATGTACTGGTCAAATTTTTAGCAACAGAATCACATGCAGTTTGTTGCTTAACTCTCTGTGTGTTTGTTTTCTCCTTAGCAAACCTCAGTGACCAATCGCTTTGCAGTGATGTGCACCCGACTTCTTCACACCAATCTTTCTTTGGTATATTATAGCACATTTTTCCTGATGTGCAAAGCACAGGGCATAGGTTATGATGTCAAGGTAAAATGTTTGCTTGTTTTGCAATAATACACCTGGAGTTCTTTGATTGCAGAGCAAGTCTTTCAATATATTTTATATGAGTTTCAGGCAAGGCAAGGCACTGTGTTCGCCCTCCATGACAGCAGAGATCGAAGAAGCCTTGGCATGCTGTGAGTTCCCACAAGAAGCAGGCAGACGCATTACCCTTATCTTTCTCCAGCTCTGTTTTCCCTTCCTCTGTCCCCATTACCATTAGAGATATATCTAGACCTTGAGCACACTCCCAAGAGCAGATTAAACATTATGTAGTGAATACCTCAACCCAAAATGTGTCAGAGCACAAAATACTGCCAAGTCGAATTAAAAGGCATTCATCACATAAATCCTATACCTATCCCATTGAAGCCCTGCTTTCCTTCCTCATTTCTCCCTGAAGAATAGCACACTCTTTAAGGCTGAGAGTTCTCATTAAGCTCCTTACAGCCCCACAGCCAAACAAGGTGATTGTTTTTTTGTTTTTCTCTGATGATGGTTCTGGGGGATCATTAGTAAGCTCGTTTGTTTCTGCGTGTCGTTAACAGAACAATCTCGGAGGATCTCCAGGGAGCTCTGCTGACCTTTGCTCGCAACCTGTCAATCATTCATCAGGAAATATCAGCTCCAAATATGCAAGGAACAAACAATTTTAGGGTATGCGGATGTTGTTTTTTCTTAACCTACTCTTAAAAGACCTGCTAATGGTATGTTCTTTACTTCACATTAGCCATAGAAAAAATATTATTCAAACGTTTCACTTTCAGATCGTGTATCTACAAATTACACTCTATGAAAAAGGTACAAAGCTGTCACTGAGGAGGTACCAGAAGGTATAAAAGCACCTTATTTACCTTATTTACCCCTAAATGCTACATATTAGTACTTTAAAAAGTGCATATTAATACATATTAATACCCCAGTGACAGTTTGTTACCTTTTTGTCTGAAAGTGTAGGATATTAATCACAATAATTCTTGATGGTTTCACCATATTACATATTATAATGTTTTTAGCTCCTTTCAAACACTCAGGGTCACTTTACAAAGACAAAGAATGAACTATGACCATCAAATCATTAACAAAAATATATCCACAATGCAGCAGTAAGAATCAGTCACTTGGTAGAGAAGTTGCATCAAGTTCACTACTCCACCACTTGCTCCAAAAGGCTCTGCAAAACTTTAGTGTAATGCTAGTAATAATAAACTTCATCTTTCACAGTGTTCAAGGTTGTTTAATTTAATAATTTCACATTTTTCAAGTCAAATTGAAATTTGGCACAACATTTGGTTGCATATTACCTTTGGCAAATGATGAATAGACTGGGCCATACAGGTGCAGTGGGAAAAAAGGGTTAACTTCCAGTTTGCATAGAACTGTTTTTGCAATCTTGTCTAAATATGCTATTCTAAATAAATGATTGTTAGTATTATAACTAAAGCTTATTATTACCAGCATTATACCAAAGTTTTGCTGAGACTTTTTGGGGCAAAGAGTACTGAATTTGAGCTTTTGGGCAAATTCAGGTGAGGACACATCTTACTTGAGCACATTTTTTTGAGAAATCGTCAATTGTGTGTCATAACATCTTATACAATACACAATTGGACTTTCATTGACACTTGCTGAATTACTACATTCAACACACAGTTACTTAATTTGATAGAGGAATTCTCATTCACTGTTCAGTGGCTAGAGGGTATAGGATCTGTAGTCTGACATATACTGACTGAATGTCTGCTATTGTTTGCTTTTATAAGGACCTTATAAAGGACACTGAGAAGGTCTTGGGCATGACCATACAAAACCAAACCACATCTCAGGAAGAAAAGGAGATTACTGCACCCGAAAGCAAACAGTTATCATCTCATAAACCTCACAGATCAACCCCAAATTAATCAACATACTTAGGGACTATCATACAATAGCATTTACACATTCAGTTATAATTGCTGTCACCAAACATTTCTATAGACCTCAATTATAGCTGTAATGTGGCTAGCATTAAAAGGAGATACACGCATGTATGAATCTGCGTGGGTGGATTTGTCCATTGTTACATTGTCCAGATCACATTGTTATAGTGATCTAAAATGTTGTCAAATTTTTCTCTCTAGAAAGATTAACAATGCAAACAGGATAATTACAATTTAGTTGTGCCATTCGTGACATTTAGCTCTTCATAGCTAGAGACTGCAAAAGAGGAATGTTGCTTAATCCGTAAACTGTATAATGCATACATAAATTATAATCACTCAAAAATAATCCATTTTGATTTCCTTTTTTTTTTGATAGTTTTTAAATAGATATTTATCTGTACATTACAATGCACACTGATTCTAAACAGTAGCAACATCTAGATAATTATATAGGTTTGTTAATAAATAGTTTGAATCTGTTGTATGTTATTTCAAGAAAACCTTAAATAAATTATAAAGTTTTTGTGGATTCAGGTGTTTTTTATTATATCAAAAACCCTTTTAAATATTCAATATTAAAAGACCAATATCTGAAATTCAGTTATTGATTCGAACTGTAACCATTTATATGTGGCTGTGGGTTTGTTAATAAATTGTTTGAATCTGTTGTATGTTATTTCAAGAAAACCTTAAATAAATTATAAAGTTTTTGTGGATTCAGGTGTTTTTTATTATATCAAAAACCCTTTTAAATATTCAATATTAAAAGACCAATATCTGAAATTCAGTTATTGATTCGAACTGTAACCATTTATATGTGGCTGTGACCAGCTGATGAACAAACAAATAAACAAACAAAATTTAGTGGAGTTTGTATGTAATTGGCTCCAGATATGGGTTCAATTTAAATGTAGACTGACCAACATATAAAATAATCAAAATTATTAAACATTTAATAAATCCAATATTTTGGCTATTTATAATATATTGGAAATATAATATATGAATTATATTGGATATTTAAGATATCCAATATTTTGTTCTATTACTATAATGTATTTTATGAGTAATACCATTTATGAATGGAAGTCTATGTGTGCAGGAGAATGAAGAGCCATTGTACACATTAGAGTATCTAGGGCAAATGGGAACAAAAAAAGCGCTTGGTTGTTTCTTCCCGGAGAAGATATTAATCGTACCGGTGAAGGTTGCATTGAACGCCTCTTATATTTCTGCAGAAAACGAACTAATTAATCGTACTTTCGTAAAAGTAATGGAGTAGTAATGTAAATATTTGTCAAATGAGTATGAAAGCCGCTCCGGTAAGTTGTATAACTTTCACTGACAACCGAACCGTTCTCTCGAGTGCGGGACTTGTACAGTGATTCGGCATCACAGAAAGTTTCGGCATTATTTCCCCGCTGATTAAAGGTTGCACAGCTGCAGTTTGGTTGGGTTTGATGTTCTTTATTAATGATTTACGTTACTTAATTAATTTTTTTTATCGTGACGAAATGATGTGACGCGCCAACAGTTGCTCTTTAAACCTCTTTTTGATACTAGACCACCTGACTTTAGGGTTTACTCCGCAATGACAGAGATTCTACGCAGAATCCACGGTGGCTTCCTAAAAGTGGCCCTGTTCCCCAGCACCTTTGGGAGTAAAGCGCCTCGTCCTGCAGCCTCTGAAGTACTAACATGTCACCTCACTCAGCGCGCGCTCCCGCCCTGGACTTCATTCTGCGTGCGCTACAGGGATGTCATCAATGACCAGTTCGGTCTGTCCAACTTCAACTGGCAGGTGCAGGGAGCAAACTACCACATCCTCAGGACCGGTGCTTTCCCTTTTATTAAATACCACTGCACCAAAGCACCTCCACAGAACCTGGAGTTTGAAAATAAGTTTTTTGGTGCATTGAAATTCATCAACCTAGGTCAGTTCTGATATGATTTACACATGTTTTGATATTACTGACAGCACAATAAATAATTTCTAATAGTTTTTTTTTCTTTCTCTTTTTCTCTAAGGTATACCATGCTTGGCATATGGCTTGGGTTCATGGATGGTAGTTGGAGTGACAGAGACGGTTCAGACCTCTTCAGGACCTGTTACCGTTTACTTTGCATACAAGGAGGTGGAGGGTGCTCAGTTCTAATATCGGAGACAATGAGTATTTCAAAAGGAGGACTTGAGTTTCACAGGCAAATATTTGTCACAGAATCTCTGAAAACTTATGCGCATTGCAGGCCCGGCACCAGGACACACGACCTGGGGGGGCTTTTATATTTCTTAGGGGGGTAATATTTTCGCTCAAAATACATTATTTAGGTAGCACTTTACAATAATTAACTAACACGTTAATATACTTTAATACATTAACTAACATGAACTAATCGAACCTTATTGTAAAGTGTTACAATTATTTGTTATTAAAGTATATATATGTTCACAAAAACACTGTTAAATTAAACAGAAAAGCAAGCAGGTGTGCATGATTTGGCGTGGCAGCCAATACAAATAATAACCATTTCCTTACCTAAATCCTGCGTTTGGACCAGGCTCGGTTGCAGAATCACATCTGTGCTTCTGAAATTATTATCTTTTTCTATATAGTGTAGTAGTTAGCTTTGTCTGTGTCGTACGTGGCTGCTTGTCAAGCATGAAAAACACAAGTTTTATTTAAATTCTGAATATATTATCGCATACACTATACAGCATGCAAATATTGCTCGCTTTAAATGTATTAAAAACTGTCACTCATTCATCACGATCTCACAAAGAAAAAGAAAAAAAAACAATGAACGTGACTACACGATGAAACTTTTTTAAATGTCTTTGTTAGAAAGAAGTTACGAGCATGATAGAACTCAGCACTGGACAAAAAAACGGTGGATTCCAAACTAAACACCTCTGCTCAGTATATCTTGATTTAAGAATCTTTAGACATTTGCACTGGAAAAAAATACCAAAAAAACTGTGGAAAGGCCTCACTTTTTGCAATGTGATCAGAATACAGTAAAAGTTATTTCCATAGTTAAATAAGGTAAAAAAGTATTGGAAATCTTTTGGATGTTTGAAGTGGTGCTAAAAAAACTCATTGTCTACTCCTTAGACATTTACATTTACAGAACATTTTGATGTGTATGTTCCCTTTTATTTATTACTTAATTTTTATGTAGTTTTAAAAAGGCCTTAAAAGTCTTAAATTTGCTTTCGAAAACCTGCAGAAACCCTGTAGCCTATAATGAATTGACAATAATCCTTATGAAGAAATTATATCAAATTTGAAAACAAATGACATATCACTATTTCATTGATTATTACATACCTGCCCCTTATTCCCAATATATATTCAGGCAGGCAGCCCCTATATTACATCATTGGCCTTAATGGAAATCATTTAGACACCCAGCTAAATCTGATCTGCACTATTAGCCTGAATGGCTGGCTCTTCCTTTTCATGTGAGTTAGCGTGAGTGCTGTAATGCTGCATGGGGAATGCTCAGGAAAGCATGTCTTAATTCCTCATTGACTCTTTGACCTTTTCCTCATCACTGATACTGTAGCAGACCTGGAGGAGGAGTAGAGTATCACAGCGCTGTGACAGGCTGACGTGAGCTCTGAGAAACACAAGCCCATGACGGGGTGTTCCTGTTTTTGGTCAGGCCCACAAGTGTGGTGCCAAGCCACAGGAGAAGACATTAGTCTGGGCGGGTGCTTATCACTTACACCTCACCTCGGTCAACGGTGTAGGATAACAGAGCAGCAAATTGGCTACTGTAAAGTAACGGAAAATTTAACGGTGCCATGTTAAGAGATCAGTGCCTTGTTTTAAAGACCGTGCAATCAAGACTCGTGTTTGTAATTGGAGGTCTAATTTACCCTCTCTTGAATATAAGGTACTAATCAACAAAGGATTAAGCACTTGTATTAACAAGTTCAATTACATGCAAATAAAGGAGACCAAGTTGAAATCTTTAAATACAAACACCATTTACATCTTGGGCAACTAATGAAAATGTGAAAGCTGGATTTGATTGTGATATGAGAGGGGGAAAATTCAGAGCTACATGGTGCGTAATCTATTATTTAGCAAGAAAAATCACATACATGTTTGGTTGACATGGAGATGTATGGGTTTGGCAGAAACAATAATTGTATGAATAACCCCTGCAGCTAATTCTGTGAAGGTTATCATTGAGCTCCCAGACCAACTGCAGGCTCCGGGTGCTCTATCAGCAGGGGGATGTCAGCTGCATTACAGTTTGTGTCATCTGTTACAGGTACGCCATGATCTTCATGTCAACAGAGGTGCTGAGACAAACAGGTTTGGAATTGAGCTTCTTTTGTCAGAAGTCATTAAATGATGGTGACAAACCAAGGTAAGCAATTATAGCTCACTGAATCACATTCACGAGGACATCTTCAAGAATGTCACAAATCTGCCAGTGTATTAATTGCATTCATGTCTCGTGATATTACAGTATTGGCTGCAGTACTAAATTCGTGTGGAAAGAGATTTTCTTTTATAGAATACGATCACTAAGAGTGTAATTTCATTTCTGATGAAACTATCATGTGACTGTCTTGTAGGTAAATCTATAAAATATATTTATAATTTATTTACTTACATTTTTGTCAGTTGCTTGGTTTGGAATGTTTGAACCCACAACTTCAGTTTCACAAAAAAAAAAAAAACATTGTCTTGTTGGATCCAGTCTACAATATATAGTAGAAGTTGGGAATGGTTATGTAACTTTTTTTTTCATCTGCAACTCAGTAGGCCTTTGTTTGCAACATTTATATCAAACTTCAAGAGTTTATCTGCCATAAATTAAAGTTTTGAAATCTTAAACTTATACCCAAACCATAATTAATGTCAAGTGCCAAAATGTTTTTGTCACAACCTGAGTTGTAACAGTGCCAGAAAACATGGACAGTTGAAATTTTTACATGTGAAGTCTTCCCTCTCCCCCACCCTATTCCATTTTAAGCATTCCATTTAAAAAAGTATTAAGAAAAAATATAATTTTAAAAGAACTGCACAACTATTTAACTGCACAAACTATAACGAATAAAAAATACATAAACATGGGCTAACAAAAACAAAAAAAAACATCGCAGCCAGTGTGCATGCAAAATGTACACTGCAAAGGCACAGAAGCGCTTTCGAAGTGGCATTAGGTGTCTTTACACAGACTGTTTAATGCTGCTCAGAGGTGATTTATAAATGCATTTACACAGCAATTGCAACTACTTTGATACAACGGGCTGAGGTGGGTCTGGTAAGGCAGAATTTAGTCTTTGAGCAGGCACAGAGCAGCCTTAACTCGGCTGTGTAAAGACAGCTTTAGTCACTTTCACACTTGTTTTCAATTTAAGTTTTTGTGAGATAATTTAAAGTAAATTGCCGGTAGTGTTAAAACCTCTCTGTTTGCTCAGCCATACTATTATTAGATATGTGTGTATGCTTTTTAAAAGAACTGCACAACTATTGAACTGCACAAACTATAACTAATAAAAAATACATAAACATGGGCTAACAAAAACAAAAAAAAAACATCGCAGCCAGTGTGCATGCAAAATGTACACTGCAAAGGCACAGAAGCGCTTTCGAAGTGGCATTAGGTGTCTTTACACAGACTGTTTAATGCTGCTCAGAGGTGATTTATAAATGCATTTACACAGCAATTGCAACTACTTTGATACAACGGGCTGAGGTGGGTCTGGTAAGGCAGAATTTAGTCTTTGAGCAGGCACAGAGCAGCCTTAACTTGGCTGTGTAAAGACAGCTTTAGTCACTTTCACACTTGTTTTCAATTTAAGTTTTTGTGAGATAATTTAAAGTAAATTGCCGGTAGTGTTAAAACCTCTCTGTTTGCTCAGCCATACTATTATTAGATATGTGTGTATGCTTGTTTTTAACATTTAGGGGATAGTTTTGAGTAATTGTTACATATTTAAACAACAGAATCTGATTCAGATGATGCCATTATGTCATTTTACGTGCATTAACCTGATCAAACTAGAAATTATACCTCAAAATTTTTATTTTTTTTTGTCATGTAAATCCTGTAGATCAGGAGCACGGTAGTCATGTATGATGGTGATTTCATCGCTGCACTTTCCAAGTGTTGTTGTTGTTACAACTGACCCCGTGCTACAACCATTCCTGGTCTTCCTTGCAATAGTAAGTATATTTTAATAGAGATTTCCCTTATTGCATCATGTTAGCATAGCATTATCAGACAGAAAAATGAAAATGGATTTAGTCCAATTGTTAAAGCCTTTGTGATTTCTGTGTATTATAATTGCTGACCTCACACCACTGAGGCTGGAATTACTTGATGTTTTTTTCACATGCTGAGAGTGGTTCTTATAGAGAGGGGAAAAGCCATTAAAAATCTATTAAAGCAGATCTTTTTACCCAGAGGGGAAAGCCTTCTCATTACTAAGCAGATTGGAAGGGATGACAAGTGGCGCTATATTTCTATTTTATTTTTCTTTCTCCATTTGTTTTTTTACTCTCTGCATTTTTTATTTTGAAAAGGCCAGCTGAAAGGCAGCATGCCCACTGTGCCAATCAGTATTTCTACAGCTACAGGCTGCAGGTGGTTCCAGTGGCTGTCATTCATGCGAGGCACTGGCCCTTGCAAGTCTGGATTCAGGCAAGCGATTTACGATTCACACAGAACAATTCCTCAAGGCCGTCTCTGAAGCGCTCTTTAGTTCGTGTTTAAATAAATGCAACATTAATTAATGCAGAAGTTCATTAAAAAAGTTGTTCATTTGGAGTGCACAGTGCAGATGATGTTATGAATGCGTGTTAATACGTGCTTTATGTTAATGGCTCATCATCTGACTGACACATCCCTGCAAATGTATCTCTAACGCGTTGTCTGAATTCATGTTTCTGTTTTGATATTTTCGAACATTTTGCTTAATGCATTGTTTTTGGTTCTCCTTCGAGCTGATTACAACTTCGCTTTTGCTTCTCCCTTGGAGCTTGGAAGATGCCTCGCTCATATTTACTGTTTACAGTGTTGACATTAAGAATAATAGATACTAATGGTGTCTCCATGAATTATTGTGAGAGTTAAATGAACTCTCTATTTTATTATATATTATGCAGTATTTAAAGTTTTGGGTCATTAAAAACCAGACGGCCCCATCCCCCCGCCCCAAGTTTGTCTTTTACCCCCTGCTAGTGTGCAGCGATGCCCTTGTTGCCACAGGCTACATTAGATCTGTTCTTCAGAAAAGCATTATTACAGTATTCTGAACTAA